TGCATTAGGTTTTCATTGAGTTATATTCTCATAAAGTTTAATACATTGTACCAAGACCAGCTATTTTTAAATGCTTTGATCGGGACCCATGTCTGACACATGACTGTGAACCTTGACCTCATTTTCACTTTTGATTTAATCCCAAATATTTTTGTTTAGATCAGTTTCTTATTTACTATAATCATTTGGTCTATAGATTCATAAATGTGTAAATGGCCATCTAAAAGGTGTAATCTGACATTAACCTGAAAGTTTAATGATTCACATAAAGTTTTTGTAATTATTTCAGTTTCTTTTAGTATCAGGTCAACTATTTTTGGTCTGTTTTTGTTGCTAGGTACATATAACTGTCATACTCAATGATTCAAGTTTTGTTACTGTATGACTAGCTCATTTTCTGTCAAAAACTGTTTTAATGTGGATTTAATATGTTTGGTTTGATATATGATGTTACTTTGACATCTTTAATTTTACCTCAAAAACTTACCTGTCTGATATTTAACTAAACAGATGAAACATTTCTCCTTAACTGAGATTTATCTTATTTTTGCCAAAATTATTATTTTTGATAAATACAGAAAGAATATATGTAGCCCGTATTATTTTGAAAAAGAAATCACAGAATTATTATGTCTCAACATATGAAGCATATAGAACCCCACCTCAACCACTACCACATACAAACACATTTTAAGGTACAAGTCTTTCTAATGATATGATATAATTCTGAAACTGGACAGAATAATGACGGCACTTAGTGTTGTAGATGTAGCTGGCAACTTTATACTTCCATATTGCCTTAAAGCATAAGTAGTTTTATTATAGGGTTAATTAATTGAAAGATCTTTTCTATTTGTCCAGTAAACACTGTTTTTTTATTCTATTGATTTTTTTCTCAAAATTAAGACAATCATTTGTTCTGTTCATTATCTTGCTTTCAATTGTGTAAATTACGTCACAACGAATACATAATATTTTGTATAAAGTTTATATTTTGTAAATTATTTTATTTATTGTTATACATTTGTCGGATGAAGTAAAATCTATTATTGTTGTATTTTATGAAATAAATGAAATAAAAAAATTGATTCACATTTTATACTAATGTAAAAGCTGGTCAGCTTTTAAAGAAAGTAGTGAAATCATTTCATACAGCCTAAATTACGATAGTGTAGAAGTACCTTCATCACAAATCATGTGCACTCCAGAAAGCAATCAGACACATGTGAATTAAAAACTTGTTATAATTCATTTTCTGGTATTGCCTGCTTATCAATCAAGAGAACTCCAGAACAATGTGAGACAAATGCCAAATTGACACTTAAACCTTGGAAATCATCTCCTGATATGGCTTACCATCGATCATCTTAAGGTATTCTTACCTCATATATTTGAAGTCCAGTAGCAAAAAAAAAGGGCAAACTGGTAGTAAAGTGGTTAAAGTGGTTAATGGGATACATGTATTAGCAAATTTTACTGGAGATTAAATTCACAAGTTTTAAGGTGGTTCCCAAAGTTAAAGTCATGAAAGATGAAATTATGCAATTAGCGGTGACACAAAGCCACACAGCTTTCTTGCCTATGCAAATGCATGCGGAAAAAGTATGCCGTTATTTGTTTCTTGCAATTATGACCAATCATTATTGAAGCAGAGAGCATTCCTACCATACACCATAAAGCTATGCAAATCCTCGAGACTTCTTGAATACTTTTTGTGTCAAGAATGTTACCAGTTGTTTATTTAAACTGGGCTTTATGTCCCACTAGGTTTTATGTACTTCCAGAAAAAGAATCTATTGAGACTGCTTTAAAGTTCAGAAATTCTAATGCAATTTATTGCTGATCTTTTGAGGTAAACCATTTGCAACTGTTTTTTAGCTCACCTGGCCCACAGGGCCAAGTGAGCTTTTCTCATCACTTGGCGTCCGTCGTCGGTTTTAACTTTTTACGAAATTCTTCTAGAGAACCACTGAATGGAATGATACCAAACATGGCATGAATGTTCCTTATGAGGTGCTGACCAAGTGTTGTTACTTTGTAGTCGATCCATCATCCAAGATGGCCGCCAGCGGGGGACTTTGTTTAACATAGGACCATATGGACAATACATACAAATGTCTTCTTTTAGAGAACCACTGAATGGAATGAAACCAAACATGGCATGAATGTTCCTTATGAGGTGCTGACCAAGTGTTGTTGCTTTGAAGCCGATCCATCATCCAAGATGGCCGCCAGCCGGGGACTTCGTTTAACATAGGACCCTATGGACAATACAAACAAATGTCTTCTTTTAGAGAACCACTGAATGGAATGAAACCAAACATGGCATGAATGTTCCTTACGAGGTGCTGACCAAGTGTTGTTACTTTGAAGCCGATCCATCATCCAAGATGGCCGCCAGCGGGGGACTTCGTTTAACATGAACCATATGGACAATACATACAAATGTCTTCTTTTAGAGAACCACTAAATGGAATGAAATAAAACATGGCATGAATGTTCCTTATGAGGTGCTGACCAAGTGTTGTTACTCTGTAGCAAATCCATCATCCAAGATGGCCACCAGAGAGGGACTTAGTTTAACATAGGAGCCTATGGGAAATACATACAAATGTCTTCTTTAAGAGAACCACTGGATGGAATGAAATAAAACATGACATGAATATTTCTTATGAGGTGCTGACCAAGTGTTGTTACTTTGTAGCCAATCAATCAACCAAGATGGCTGCCAACAGGGGACTTAGTTTAACATAGGACCCTATGGGAAATATATACAAATGTCTTCTTCTAGAAAACCGCTTAATGGATTGAAACCAAACATGGTATGAATGTTTCTTTTGAGGTGCTGACCAAGTGTTGTTACTTTGTAGCTGATTAGTCATCCAAGATGGCTGCCAGCAGGGGGATTTAGTTTAACATAAGATCCTATGGGAAATACATACAAATGTTTTCTTCTAGAGAACCACTGAATAGAATGAAACCAAACATGGCATGAATGTTCCTAATGAGGTGCTGACCAAGTGTTTTTACTTTGTAGCCAAACCATCATCCAAGATGGCAACAAGCAGGGGACTTAGTTTAACATAAGACCCTATAGGAAATACATACAAATGCTTCTTCTAGAGGAGCACTGAATGAAATGAAACCAAACATGGGATAAATGTTCCTTATGGGGTGCTGATGAAGACCTTAAAACATGTATCTTTATAGATTGAGATATACTGTTAACTGCAAAAATATCAAGAAAAGAAGATCTACACATAAGTCAACATGAGCAAAATTGACATCTTGTTGGAGTTATTGTCCTTTTAAAGTCATTTTCTACAATTTCAATGAATTTTTTGGTAATTTCTGTAAACTTTACAAAAGTCTTCTGCTTTTGATTAAATTACAGGGCCAATATTAAACCAAATTTGGGATCAATCATTATTAGGGTATCTGTTATGATTTTAATCTATTTTTACAGGATTTCCAAAACCAAAGTAGAATCAGGTGAGCGACACAGGCTCTTGAGAGCCTCTAGTTGCAGTTTGTTCTTATGTTGTGCTGTAACACCAATGTCCCAGGTTAGAGGGAGGGTTGAGCTTTAAAAATCATGTTTAACCCTGCCACTTTCTTTATCTGCCTATCCCAAGTCAGGAGCCTGTAGTTCAGTGGTTGTCGTTGGTTCATGTCCGTCAAATTTTTTTTCTTCGCAAATTGAGTTTTTATAAATTAGGTTGTTAGTTTTCTTGTTTGAATTGTATCACATTTTTCATGTTGGGGAGGCCTTTTATAGCTGACTATATGGTATGGCTTTTTTCTCATTATTGAAGTCTGTACAATGACCTATAATAGCTTACATCCACATCTTTTGAACTCAGGTGGATAGTTGTCTCATTAGCAATCATGCCACATCTCCTTTTCTCATAATTATTGTCTCGCCTGCAATGAAAGTCGCGGAAAGGTAGACATAGATATTGCCTTTCCAGCGGCGTTGGCATCTACAATTGTTAAGTTTTCTGCTGGAGTTAGTTTGATAAGAACTACTTGTGATAGATCAATGATATTTTATATGAAGTTGCATTACTATCAGTACATATCGGTTTGGCGACTATTTTGAGGCCATGCCCCCTAGGTCATGGTCCAGTGACTTTCAATTAATTACCAATTTTCATAAATAAGTTTTCTGCTGAAGTTAGTTTGATAGGAACTAATTAAAATCAACAACGATATTTTCTATCAAGTTGTACATCATAGTTTGTTGACCATTTCAGGGCCCTGTCTACTAGTTCATTGTTCAGCAACTTTGAATTAATTAGCAATGTTGCTGTCCACCATATTGTCTTTTTCTGAATTTTATGCTGATAAGCAAGACATACCTCTGTATCTACAGTTTATATATAAATTAGATTTGAGGCTCAATATGAATTATAAATTTTATACTGGAATGAAGATTGTTGATGGTTATGATGGATTCTAAAATTTACACTAATTACAAGCATATGGACAGATAAATAGGCCATGATGGATTCTAAAATTTATACTGGTTAGAAGACTGGACAGATAATGATGGTTAAAGGGGCATAAGCTGTCAAATTCCTTTTGACCAATTTGACTCCAATTCTTATATTTGATTTATAACAAACTTAAACATATATCTAAAATTACTAAAAATCGAAAAAAAAAAATAAAAAAAAAATAATGAACAATGCTGGACCAGATATGTATCAGCATTTCGTATGTATTTTAGTCTAGACACCATCTAATTAACCATCTTGATGACCTCCAAAGACTACCGATGTTGACATTCTTTTCCTTTTAATAGCTGAACATGCCTAGTACATGAGTAACCCATCTCCAGCTAAGGGGTTAAATTGAAGGTCACAAGAATACGAATTCAATTGAGGTTAAATTATTCACTTGCAAGTAAATGTGATGAATTTTAGCTTATTTTGACAAATTTGGGAACTGATTGCTTTAAACGAAATAATATTTCACTTTTCCACTTTTATTAATACTTGAAAAAACAAAAAGAATCGTATTTTAATTTTTTTCCTAAATTGTAGCTAATGTCCCATTAAAGCGCTGCTTTAAATTTTCAAAGCTTGTAAAAATTTGATAACATTATAAACAATAATGTTAGAAATATTTCTGCACACCAAAAACAGCTAAATTATTTTACAAATCTATTTCAGGTGGCAAAGAAAAACCAAAACAATTTTTTCAACAATTTTTACTGTGTAAAATCACAGATTTATGTGAAAAACAAAATTTTATATTGACCTAATTAAAACAGAACACACTGTCAAATTATACAAACACATTATTCTTAACAATCAACCACAAGCACTTTCAGTATTAATACAAATGTCCTCTCTCATCTATTGCACAAAATCTATGTGTTGATATATACACATTATCAGAATTACAATCAATCATTTAACAGTGAAAGTCATGTGTCAATTAGATTCACCTAAAATGGTGAGATACATACATGTTTGAGGGGGATTTTCTCTCAATAATTTTTAAGGTTTCACTCTCACATTATGTTTTAGAGCATAATGTATTTTATCATAATTCCCTGAATACATCCATTCACTTCAACAGAACATTTTATCACACATCAACAGTAAGTTATCTTAAGAGGACTTATATCTATACAAATTTGCTAATGTATTACAAAAAGCAATTATAAATAAATAATAATATAATCAATTACAACAGAAATATGTCATGATTTTCTAATTCAATTATTTTCAACAAAAAGTAGAACAGACACTTAATTTTCTGCTCTCAGGACTAAAATTTTCTCATTAATTAAGATGAAATCCTTTTTCTGCTGTTGCAGCTAACAATTTCTCGCGTAGAATATCCTCCGAAGAATATTCAGGTAGTTTTAGATAATGAACACATGTGTTTACTGACGGGAAACTGCTGTCATTCCCGTCAACTTTTCTAACTATAGTCAGTCTTGGATGTAAGTTTGCCAGGCCACCGGGTGGCAGGGATGAACATCCGGTGGTAAACTGTAAGAATGCTTTTCTCTCATCGGAACTCAGATCTACCATAACACTGACAAATCTCTGGAATCCAGGGCTGAAATAAAGGGAACACAGTCAATATATTTCTCTGGTAAAGAATTATGATGATATATTATTTAATATCATCATAATTATTATAATTGTTATTGCCAAATTGTATACATGTCATTTTTAATAGGGGCATTATTTTTTTTGTCAGTTTTTCTGAGCAATTTTATGCAAATGTTATTTTTTAATTGAAATTCAATATTATAGAGATGTATGGTGAAAACATAGATGTACACGTAAGGTGCCATGTTTAATAAAAAAAAAATTAAGAAGGGTGATTCACATCTTAAAGCAATACCTTTTATATACATATATATCCAGTATTATAGTAGAGTCATCAGTTAAAATCTGCAGAAATTAAAATATTGACAATTTTTTTTAAAACTTCAAATTACAATATTTAGTTCTAAAGAAATGTCTGGTTATACAGTATTCCATCTCACCATACTTAAATATGCCTACCTTTCTCTGGTATATCCCAATTTTGGTTCAGTGTAATTCAGTATGTCCTCTTTAGTCCATTCTGGGGTCTGATCACCACACAATAAGGAGGCTAATTCTGTGGGACTGAAGGAATGTAATTTCTCCATAGGGTATACAGAGTTAAAACCATCTAAAAAATCGTAAAGTTTATCTTATCAATCAAAATTTTAAAATTATAATACTTCTGAGTATTTTTGTGATGGTGATAGGGTTGGATATCTCAACATTGACTTCAGAAAATCATAATTGTATTACAGCTAACAAACGCAATGTAAGATTAAAGATTGTGGAATGGTAAATGGAAAATCCTTTAAGTCCCACATACTGTAAATGTGATACATTTCCCAACAGTGCAAGAATTGCAGCTCAAATGATGTCACTATTGTATAATAACTGACTGTATCTAAATATTGTACATGTAACTAAGACCTTGACCTTAGACCTAGCGACTTCAAAATCAAAAGGGATTTTCCTCTCCTTAAATGTTACCACATATCCAAAATGATTTCAATCTTATGTAAAATATATTAAGCATCCGAAAACAAACTTTCCTGAAAAAATTGTATTCTTTCTTTAGCAACAATGTCCTTAACCTTGGATGTAGTGACCTCAAAAAGCAATAGATATCTTGCTTTCATTATATTTGACCATATATCAAAGTAAGGTTGCAATCCAATGTAAGGTACTGTAAATTCAGAAATTATTGTGAGGTTTTTATTATTGCAAATAATGCAACTGGGTGAGTATCGCAATAATAAGAACTCGCATTCTGATATCTGATACATATATGTGTTTGAATATTTTCCAGAAACCGCAATAATTAATCTCGCATTTATGTCCATTCTTCAAAAAATTGCAATAATAAATGCACACAATAATTTCTGGATTTACAGTGTTTGATTTAGCATTTGGACACAAGAACAAATGGGTGTAAGGGGCTAAACTATATTCTTTGTAGTGTGAGGTATATATAATAAGAGACAATTCAGTGATATAATTTATTGTAGAAAATTTAGGATAAAATTGTACTGTATTAAATACCTCTGAAAGCATCAAGCTGTCTCCGGATACCACTGTTTAGACAGAAGTCTGTGACCAGATCTACATATTCTTCTATGTTTTCTAGAGTTACCTCCTCCTTAATAAATCAAATAAAACAATAATAATGTGACTTAGGTCTAATTAATGATATGTCTTAGACAAATCATTAAAGGTCTTTTAAATAAAAATTAAAAAAAATATTTATTTTTTAGATGGCAAATCTACTAATAAAACAAGTAATGATACCCCTGCTTTTTAAACTATACAGTAAACAGGAAGTTGATGTGAATTGAATCTGAAAACGTATTACACAGTAAAGCTTGTTCACCTGAAGCCTGATAGCAAATTTCAGGAATCTCTTATTTGTGGTTCTGCAGAAAAATGCATAGAAATTTTCATACATGTCCAGTATGTGTTAAAATAATATATAAATATTCGGTAAACAGGAAGTTGATGAGGAATGAATCTGAAAATATGTTATTCAGTATAGCATGCTGGCATGAACCCGATAACAAATTTCAGGAAGCTAAAACTTTGTGATAACTTAATGGGATGGACAGATAGGAGTAACACAGTATACCCCTCCTATATTTAGGGGATTACAGTATTGTATTTTAAAATCCATTTAATTATTTTTATGTGCTATAAAATCCAAAAATATGCAGCCATGTAATTTGATAGACTCCACAGTAAATACTTACATCTTCTGCATTTGGTTTGAGATCATATGATGTATAACCATATACTTTAGATGATGGATTGAACTGGAAATTTATTCTGAAAATATAAAGACAAATCCATAGGCATAATTTATAGTAAATTTCTCAGGTGAAACCCTGTGTCCCATAACCTTTCAATTTAGTGCACAATAGACCTTTGAATAGAAATATCATGAATTTTTAGAAAAATATATGATCCTTAATGTTACATCTTTCCTCAATCTTAATCAAAATTCAATTTGAATTATCCTTGTCCTTTGATTAAACTTACTCTTTTTCCTATAGTAAACCTAGCATTGATATTGAATCATACCTATGCTAAATATTTGAATGAATCTATTGAACTTTTCCTTAAACTTACCCTAAATCTTCCAATCTATATTTATCCTCAGGATCCTGTGGATTTCTGAGCCCTAACTGCTGAATAAGAATATTTTTCTGATCAGGAGTCAATGTTTTGTCTTTCAATATTTTTTGCTTTTGATTAGCCAAATCTTTGAGCTGACTGAGAAATACAGCTCGATGAGCGTCAATAATTTCAAAATCGTCATCATTTAATATTCCTGTATACCATGCTGGTGTCTCTGGTTGTTTAGGTTTTGGTGGATCAAGTATTAACTCCTTGTCCATGTCCTCAATACTGTATGATGTGGAATAGCTAGTGGTATTGCTGCTAGGAAGGTCAGAGTGGTAAGATTCCATGGAGCTTCCTACAGAACGATGAAGTGACTGTGTATACTGTTGTGTGATATGATGACCAACCTCACCCATGCACATCAGTTTTAAGAAAGGTCTTGATAATGGAATGTCAATAATACGTTTGTCCTGAAGACATTTGGCAAGAAGAGTTCCAAGAAATTGGAATAGCTGTTCTATATTATGCATGTCTGGACTTTCCTGGGGGTAGGGTCCTGGGAATAGCCCTCCTACTCGCTGAATGTAGTACCCTGGTGGCTTAATACCATGACCTATGTCAATCTGCAGTGAAAAATGTCCATGAGAAAAATAAAATCCATTAAATTATTGCTAGTATAAATAACTGTAATACATGTACATAAACATCATATTTAGAAACTAAGGTTCAAACTCCCTCCCTCCATTTTTGGCTTTGATCATTCCTGGTGAAGGTAAATCAAGGAAGGTTGTTTAAATAACTTCAATAACTCATATCCATTTATCTATATGTCTTATTACTACCATAACTTTTCAAAAATCTATCAATGTTAATTGCAATTGTAATAATGAGTGGAGAAATGTGGAAAAGAGGGGAGAATAAAAAAAATGTTTACATCAGCTATCTTATTTGATGGTATTTATATCTTTAATACTAAAGACAAAAAATTCATACAAATTCCTGATAGTTATTGTGTTTTCTAGATCTTAAATGATTAATTAAAGAAATACATAGTAATTTATAATAGCCAAACAAGCTTTATTTAGAACTATTTTCCAAATGCTTGTAGTTTTAAGGTTTGATTTTCTTGCTTTGTTTGTATAAATGTTTGCTCAAGCATTGTAATAAAGATTGACATCAGCAATCAATAGATACATTATACTCTGCAATATACTTAACATCCAATAACATTTAGTAGTATAATGTATACAAGCTGAAGCCCCGCCTATCTATTGATTGCAGATGTCAATATTAATTACAATGCTTGAGCAAACATCTATACAAACAAAGCAAACTAGCCAACAAAACCTTTTAACTACAAGCATTAAGAAAATAGCTCCAAAAGAATGAAATAATTTATTAATCAAATGTACATAGCATGGAAGTTAATTGTAATATTTAGTCAGCTTGTTTGATTTCCAATATTCGATTTTTTTAATAAATACAGTATAACCAATAGGTGTACTTCATAAAGTTTTTACATAAGAACCTTTTTCATTTGACCAAAGGAATAAATGGGTTACTACACCACAGAAAACTGGAAAGAGCACTGTTACTTCATGTAATATATAATCATTTTAGTGTTTTGAATAATTATGATAGAATTCACTTTATTACCTGTCTTTCTAATTTATTTGGAGCATCATCATCACATAACCAAAGTCCTAACTCTTTCTTTTGTAGTTCAGCTGATACTAAAGCATAGAATTCTAATGATGGTCCTAGACCTGTCCCTTCTTCACCAGAGAATTCTATCTCCAGGATTGACTTTCTCTGACAGTGACATTTCATCATCTGTACAGCCCACTCTAGCAAGTGGTCTCCCCTTGGTACTTTGACACGTTCATGTTTCAGACGACCAATTCTGTATTCCCCGCCCTCGTCCCTACGAGGCAAAGCACCCCTGCTTCTCTCCAAAGTGGCATCTCTTCTCTCTTGTAACCATACAATTGATCTGCAAAAAAGTTTATCGTAGACTATAATAATGTAATAGCAAATTTTGACACAACAAACATAAACAAAGAAAGTGACCTCTTGATGTCTATTTTATGTCTATTATGAACCAACTTGGACGTCTTTACTGAAAATAAATGGCCCCAGAACATTCTTGCGAGAAAAGCAAATGCTTAATAATAATTCAAAAGTTTTAAAATCTTACCTAGAACATCCAAAAGCTGTACATGAGAAGTAGAGCTGTCTGGTATCAAAGGAGAACAACATGGGACAATTCTTGGTTAGTTTCTCACACCAGTCTGGTAAAGCATTGCTAGCTAATACTAATGGATCCTGTATCTGTTGCACTATTTTGTTGGTTATTTTCTTACTACAAAATTCTCCTGTTGGCAGGTTCACAAGGCCTCCTACCTCATCTGAAATAAATAAATATATACCTATGTTATTAATCCTTTCCTTCAAAATTTCAACAATATATCATTACAAGGTATAAAATCAAATTTCATAGGAAAGTTTATGAAATATGTGGAACACTACTGGATTATTTGACTGATGGCTGCATAATGTGTAGTAGTTCTTATTGCATGCATACTTAGGATAATAACATGTTCATGAGATATCAAGATAGCCTACTTTATTGATGACTTGAAATGCTTTTATCAGACTCTTAACATGCTAGGACACAAGGTAATGTCACCCTTCTCAGACATGTCATTTTCACTTCAAGAACCCCTTCCACCTTCTTGGCAGTGAAGCAGAAAATTCTGATTTTAATTAAAGTTTTTAGTTTGACCTGGCCAGGGATCAAGTCCTTTACCTCCAACACTTAAAGTCAGCACGCTATCACAGGACCACCAAGACGATTACTTTTGAGTTGACGATGAGAAGTTTAAAACTATGGAAATCTTTCCTGAGTATCTTTATATATTTGTATAAAATTTATACCTATAGTCTGTTTCATGGACTGTTCCATACCAATAGCATAAAGTCTTTGTAGTAACTGTAAAACATGGTCTATGGTGCATGATGCTGGGTCATTGTTTCTGGGAACATCACATTCACTAAGAATCTGATAACTTTCAGATTTACTCTCCAACTGGTTGTAGGTAGAATCCTATAAAGAAATCATAAAATTGATTTATTCAACTGAAAAAATTTGATACTTGTCATATATTCATGACACAAAGTCTAAGATGAAAATAAACAGGATATTTATGGGTTATAGACTATCAGGTGAATAAACATCAATAGTGCAACATTTGGGAAAGTACTTAGTTTTTGTATCCATAGCATATAAAAGATTATGATTTAATTAATTTCATGATATGTTTATTATTTGACAATGACATTTAAAAAGGTTCCATTAAATACTGTAAATTCAGAAATTATTTCGAAGTTTTTATTAATGCAAATAATGGGACAGAATGCATATCGCAATAATAAGAACTCTCATTCTGATATCTGATACATATAACTGTATGCATATTTTCCTGAAATCGCAATATAATAATGAATCTCGCATTTGAGTCCATTCTTCAAAATTTGCAATAATAAATGCATGCAATAATTTCTGAATTTACAGTACACTATTTACAATGCACACGATGTTTCCAAAATTTGTTGAAGAAATTCAAAGTTAACAGAAGTTATGACAACTTTACACAATTTCATCTGCATCTTACCCATTCTTTTGGAGTTTTTATTTTTACAAAATTGTATGATAATTTAATGGACTGATGGACAGAGTAACAAAGTGAAACTATATATCCTTGATGCAGAGCCCTAATAAATTCTATAAAGGTTGCCTGCATTAAGGAATATGACAAAACATAAATTACAGTGTCCATACAAAGGTTGTCCATACAAAGGTTAATATAAAATAGAATAAAATTTTCTACAACATGGTACTCACTGTCATTTTTTCAATATCTTCTTTCACCTCTCCATCCTTTAATGCTCTGTATATAATTCTACAAAGAAATATGTAACAAATATACTAATGAACTCATCATTATACAACATAAACAAATCTATTTTTTGTGATAATTTTCTTTGAAAAAATCTACCATGCATTATCATTCGTTGGGTACTATTGCTGCGAAATAGCCAAAAGTGCTGAAGGTGGTGTTAAACAACAATCAATCAATCGTTGGGTACCAATTTAGTCTTTTTCATGGATACAGATGAACCATGAATTTAAATGTTGAACAAAGTATAAATTTCCTAGAGGTTTGAATGGAAAACATTGACAAAACAACAAAATAATCAATTTTTTTCTTCTTAAAACAATGAAAATAAAAGAATCCACAGTATGTTTGGCTATCCATTTACATCCAATCAATAAAATGCTTCGCTGGGGCGCAGCTTGATACGACCGCAGAGGTCGAACCCTGAACAGTTGGGGCAAGTATGGACACAAAATTCAAGCTTGATACAGCTATGACTTTGGATTGTCATTAAATATTTGACACAGCATAGGTTTCTGACACAGGATGAATGTGGTGTAAGAACTGGAAAAAATTTAATTTACCTATTATGGTGGAATATCCATAAACTAAATTGTTTGTTAATTTCAATATATCAAAGAATATGTAGAATTCAATGTTTGATGTAATGTAATAAAGTTGAAATTTGGACCGTTTTTGTTCAATGTGGACCAATTTGGTAACATGTATAAATAATCAAAAATCTAAATACATGGGAGCCCATTTAAATACAGCATAAAGGTATTAAAATAGAAAGTGACATCATAGTCATGGCTAAAAATAAACAAAAATCCTTAATCAGCAACATTTAAAGTAATATCTAAAAATAAAATTCCTTTGTAACCATAAAAGCCCATTTAAATACATCATAAAGATATTAAAATAGAAAATGACATCATAGTCATGGCTAAACATAGCTAAAAACCCTTAATCAGCATCATTTAACAGTAATATCTAAAAATGGAAATTACATCATAAAGGTATTAAAATAGAAAATGACATCATAGTCATGGCTAAAAATAAACAAAATCCTTAATCAGCATCAGCAACATTTTATAGTAATATCTAAAAATAAAATTCCTTTGTAACCATAAAAGCCCATTTAAATACATCATAACAGATATTAAAATAGAAAATGACATCATAGTCATGGCTAAACATAGCAAAAACCTTAATCAGCATCATTTAACAGTAATATCTAAAAATAAAAATTTCTTTGCAACCATAAAAGTAAAATAGAAAATGACATCATAATCATAGCTAAAAATAAACAAAAATTTTTTTTATTGGCAAATTTTAAATGGAGTTTATTATACTAAAACAATAAATTTGCAACCATAAACATGATAAAACCCCATTTAAACACATCATAAAAGTATTAAAGGGAAAATTCGCGATTTTTTACTTATCATCTTATTATGTTCATAATACCATAAAAAACATATTCACCAAGTTTTATCTGGATATGAAAACTAATAAAGAAGAAAATTGGGAATTATTAATTTTATTTATTCGAACTTCCTGACTTCTGTGACGTAGTTTAAGTCTTTTTGCATGCCGGGAGTGGAATTAATCTCATTTAAGTCTTGTTCGTTAATCATCTAATAACGCGATTTAAAGCGCATCGACGACTTTTGGCGTAGCTATTAACCAACTAAAAATTAAGAAAGTAAAGTGATTAGCCGTGCAACTTTTAAAAATAAAAATGTACGATTTATATTTTAAGGATTTCTGATATGATTATAGTCATTATAGTAATAAAAGTAAATCATACAATAGAATATTTTTATGAATTTTTTTTCCGACGGATATTTTCAACAAACATATTTAACTGATAGTGTATTAAAAATGCATGTTTGTATTCTCACCTTTTACTTCAGTCTAGCAAACATTTTCCGCTAGTACCGTGTAAATACAATGTGTATTGTACTGTGACACTTAGTGACTACCTGTTGAATGCGTGGTTAAATTCAAGGTATTTAAAGGTTTGCATTCTGTAATTCTAATCTTTTAATCTTCAATCAGTGAATTTTAGCCGTCACGGTTCACCGTTCCAGGTGTGAACATCATTTCGTATGAATGATAAACGGGAGTAATAGTTTGAGACAGAAAATAAAAAAAGAAATATAATTATTTTGAGGGAGTAATATGGTGGCACAATAACTGGATAGCCGTGGTATATTTTTATATTTTCCGTAAGCTCAGTTTAAAATGAATTATGACTGCTGAATATTTTTGTAACAATGAAATACTGAATTAATTTAATTGAATAAATAATAATGGCATTCTAAACACGAGTGTATGAACTAAAAATTGTACTATTTTAAATTAGAATCGGTAACCTTGATTATTTGAAATAGATAATTACCAATTGCAATTATATAATTTGGTCCGTCCAAAGCGATCTTTATTTACATATTCAGGAATTAATGTCCTTATCAAAATATTTTAAATCTCACAATGTATAAATACTTCAGCCATTTGAAGAAAGATAATTAAAAAGATGACAGGAAATTTAAGGTCAACTTTGTCTAATTGGAATGAGATCGAATAATTAAGAAAAAAAAATTATTTTCCGGTTTGAAAAACATAAAAAAAAATTATAAAAGAGAAATGTGGGTTTGAGACAGAAAAAAATAATTATTTGGGGAGGAATATGGTGGCAAAATACCTGAATCGCCGTTATATATATTTTTTATATTTTGCGTTAGCTCAGTTTTTAAATAGATGGGTGAGTACTTTGTTGTAACATCGGAATTCTGAATAACTTTCAATGAAATAATTTTATAAATAAAAATGGCCCACGAAAACGAGCGTATAAACCAAAAACTGTGCTATTTTGAATTATCATCGGTAACCTTGAATATTTAAATGTGCAGAGAAAATTATCAGTTATACATTAATATAGTTTGGTCCGTCCAAAGCGATCTACATTTACCTAATCGGGAATGTCCTTATTAAAATATTCTACATCTCACAACAAATACTTTAGGTATTTGACCAACGATGATAAAAAATTTTTTACAGAATCAATCTAACGTCAACTTGCCTTTATTGAATGGAGACAGACCGGCGGAATCATAGTTCAATGTGCATTATATCTTGTACCTTTGTAAGACTTATCATTCATTCATAAACCATGTCTATACCGCAGACATATATATACATATAATTATATGTCTGTCTTAACTGACAAGAATACTCCTGGTTTTACACTAGTAATTTGTTGGGGCCCTTTATAGCTTAATTGCTGTTCGGTGTGAGCCAAGGCTCCGTGTTGAAGACCGTACTTTGACCTATAATGGTTTACTTTTATAAATTGTGACTTGGATGGAGAGTTGTCTCATTTGCACTCATACCACATCTTCTTATATCTATAAGCAGTATTATCTTTAAATTTCTGTGATTTAATACCAAGAAAGAAAAAAATCCCGAAATTAATTTGATACTTTGATACTCAATATTTTTCCTGAAAATATTCACGTCCTCATTCGGTCTGAAAATAAGATAAGAAACTGGTATACAGAACATGCAGAAGTGTGAATGTCATAAAACCTTGTTATATCAGAAACCATTATAAATGTGAACCTGTATACGTAAGATCTCATGGGACGATGTACCTAACCACATACAGGTAATATACAAGTAGCTCTGTTATACCCGGAAATGTCAAGGTTAATCACTACCGATACAGAATGTACCAATGCAAAGTAAATTCTGATGATTGTGAAGCATGACCATTCATGATTTTAGAGGAGTATTAGGTGGGGGATTGTCGGAACGATTTAAATTCTGACTAGATTTTTGCTCAATTTAAATCACTGAACTAAAAAAAAAAGAAAGGAGAAAACAACGTCCAAGAACAGAATTCTTCTTGTAAATTCATAATTACAACGTTCTTATTTTGTAACTTTCGATAGACTTGACCTCCAACCCCCCCCCCCCCTGCCCCCCCTCAAACCTGGGAACATTAAATCTAACAATGTTTATGTTCCTGCCCAAATAAAAAAAAAAAAGAAGAAAAAAAAAAGAAAGAGATGAACCACTAGAGATGAACGGTAAGTCACATCAGATTCAGATATTTATATAGTCGTTAACTAGAGATGTATAGTTACATGTCTCTGCGTTAACTGATAAGAATAACAGGAAAGTATAAACTTAAAATAGATTTATGATGAATAATATGCAACTGCGGCACCCCTTTTTATCAAAGCGTACATGCATGTATTTTAATGACTGTCCGTTATTTCGATCATAATGACAATTGTACGTGAAATCCTATAGTTGGTGAGACTTTTTTTTTTACCAGATATGCGACTTTTCGTATTTATATTTTCTCTTATATTACTCTTATTTAATATTTTATGCATAAGTGCAATAGTGGGAATGGTTTATTCCCTTACAAGCTAACGTAATAAATTAATCAACCCTCAAGCTGATCAGACGTTAATACAACTACTATCAGTCTATCCGGAGTGAAGTTTCTTTACTTCTTCAAATAAACTTTTGGGGATCATTAGTGTACGTCCAGTGACATATATATTACATGCATGTCGGAACAGGAAAATTGGCATAAGGTTCTATTAGAACCATGTTCACATTAATATACATTATACCCAACAATTGTGATGATGACGAATTTCTTCAACTGTTCGAGAACAATCTAATTGAAATATAAATCTGTGATTTTACTATGTCCATAACTTCGATGAACCAAAGCAAGTTAGATATCGACCTGTATTTAAATCAAATTGGTTCTAGATGTTCTTTCTTATATTCAATATACAATTTTAAATTGCGACTATCTATAGTTCCGTAACTTTCTATCTAGGCGTATAAACCAATGATCGACAAGTGCATATTTTTTAAATCAATAGTTTTTCATGTTTCAAAATGTCCATCATTATTGACAACGAGTATATACTTACATTTTCCCCAATTTACCCTTGGAAAAATATGTAAATAGATTTTTATTTTATCAAATC